TGTTGAAAATTTCTGGAGGGTAAACAAACAAGGTTCTGTAGCCAGAGTATATTTCTCGGGTGCAAAGCTAATGGTGAAAATTATGAAAGGGAGTGGCTGCTTTATTCTTCATTAGGTGACTCTGTATATTCTTTTGTTTGCAAACTATTCAGTCCTAAATCATTTAATTCTCTATTTGCTAAAGATACAGTTAGCAATTGGTGCAACTCGAATGTGAGTGATAAACAAGAAAACAGTTCAATTCACAGAGATTGTATATTGTCATATTTAAACTGAAGACATGGTTTTGACTTAACTCATGAACTGGAAACACAAATTAATGAAAAATGTCAGTATTGGAAAGCCATTTCGCAATGTGTTGTTGCTGTCATTATAACAATCGCTGAACATGGACTGTGTCTTTGAGGAGGAAATTAAGTTTTTGGGTCTCAGAAAATGGAAATTTGGGAGGTTTCTTGAACTTGTTGCTCACTTTGATCCATTTTTAGCAAGTCAAATCTCAAAATATGTTAACACATATATGCTTAAAACAATGTGTGAAGAATTAATAAACTTAATAAGTGATAAAATTTGATCAACTATTTTCAGTGAAATAAGTATAACTTGATATGTCAGTTTGTCTGTAGATTCCACTCTTGGTCTTTCTCATACAGATCAGCTAAATACTATTTTAAGATACATATCTTCAACAGATGGAAAACCTGTCGCGTGATTTATCACATTTACTAGCTTAAAAGGTCAGACTGGTGAAGAAACTGCAAATCAGGTACTTCACTCTTTATGTGAAGTTTGCAAAACTGATTTTTCTAAGTGCACAGGCCAGTCCTATGACAATGCTGCCAATATGTCAAGGCATCATAAATGCATGCAACAGAAAATTTTATAATGTAATGAATATGCCATTTTCATAACATATGCTGCACATTCACTTAATCTTGTAGGACATATTGCAGTATATTGTTGTCCAGAAGCAGTTGATTTTTTTTCTACTGTTAGTTACTTACACATTTTTTGCCACCTCTACTCACCGATGGGCAT